ACAAGCACTGTCTGCAACCTTCCAAACAAATACATACAAAGATGAACCTGAAGTGATTCGACATTTGATGAAGGAGATTGTAGAGATAGAAAAGGCATTTGCTGTTCATCATACTATCGATGATCTTAACTATTTGGAAGGAATGGAGGATCAGTACTGGGATTTATTAGAAAATAAAAAATTACATAGAGACAATGAGTATCCTGTTTTCCCAATAGTTGTCGAGTGGGAGAGACTACCTAAGTTTCTACTATAGACATTGGACGTAGGAGTCCCATATTGTTGTAGAAATCAAGCAATTGGTCATATTGATGTTAGCGGTGAAATAGAAGAAATGTGTGTCAACTGGGGCCTAGATTATGATACCCTTGGTCCCGAAGGGTGCGTACAAGATATTGACAAAGAATATGAAGACGGTGACAACGAAATAGTGCCAGACAACGACGATAATGGCGAATAAAATTTTATTTTATTCCTTGGCATGTATGTTAAACTGTTGTATTGAATCTTTAATTCTAAATAACAATCAGATTTAACCCCATTGGAAATATAATTTTATTTCATACATTTAGCAACCTGAACATTTACATAACTTTAGTACAACAAAATTACAGCAATAAAACACTACGTTTATCCTTGATAATTTGGCACATTGGATGAACTGCCACCTGGTGCTGAATTACCACCGCTTCCCAAATGAGCTGAAGGACATTTACGGTGGCCGTGTCCTGTTTTGGAACATATATCACATTTACGTGCATAAACGGTATCACCAACATCCATTTGGTTCCGTATACACGTTCTTTTTTGCACTCGTTGTTGACGCACATAATCCTTGTTACACACTATTTTAAATGATTTCGGCGGCCAATAATGCTCAACACCCACTTCCTGCAACTGTCCACTATAGGTATTTAAGTATACAACAACACTATATTTATCAACGTACCTCGTTGCCGCGAAACCTGTATATTGAAAGCACTTCATGGCATGTGAGCATGGCAAGTGATAGATTGACCATTTTCCATAGGAGCATAATCTTCTGGCTTTATTATTCCCACAGTTGTGATATAGACCAATGCGAACTTCAAAAATATTTCGCTCGCTGCAATACTACAAAAATGAATGCCATTGTGCTCTCTTCCTATATTTCTCAAATCATTTCATTGGTTGTGGCATAAATTCAACACCCCTTTACATCAATGACGATGCACCTCTAGATCTTTCAACAAACCTCTCTGTCATTTGCTTGAATGATATCCGCACCATGGAAGTTACTGGCAATCCACGTGCAGACTTCAATAATCCATTGAAAGACTCTGACACATTTGTAGTCAGAATAACCCATCTTCTACCACCATCCGCATGCCAAGTCTACTTGTCAAGCTCATGTCGCATCAACAAACGATAGGCTTCTGGGTCTTCCTGCCTGATCAATTCCATTCGCCTCCTAAATTTACACTCTTGGTAATCTGTTGCAGCCATCCACATTAAATCATGCAAGTCCTTGTTAGGATAATCCATCTGGAAGTTACCCTTCAAGTGCCTAACACAGTAACGGTGGTAGGCATACAGTTCAAGCCATGCACGCAAATTCTTTACAAAACTTAAAATATCGCCATGCCGATTAGATATTCGACATACTTCCATTAGCATCTACTGCAACGGCGATCAACAACTTGATATCGTACTTTTCATAGACATGAGTGTCATTTATGGATATTACTGGCCGACAATGAACAAAACCATCAATGGCTGGTTTAAATGCCCAGAACACATATCCGAATATGTGTTTCGATATTCCCGGACTCCGCTCAAGCTTCCATTCAACAACAGTCCCAGGGTTAAAGTATTTCAATGCGGCCATCTACCTGGGTAGAGATGTAAAGGACTTATTCCAGTTACCATAAACAATTTCAAACGCACGTTTGCGCCCGCAAAATGCCCTTCTTTTGGTAATGGTACACCCATATACCTGGGGGACAAATGTTATACACTTTTTGATCTTATACCTTATGGACGCTTCAATGTGTGGAATCAACACAAGAGAAATCAAGTCAACATTCAAGTTAAAATGATTCCCACTGAATGTGTCCATTTCATAATTGTAGATGCCAATGTATTTACCCATAATCCATATATTTGTTTTCAACTTTCTTGCACGCAGCATCCAATTACAACCTTGAAACCATCTACGACAAATAACTTTGTATACATCCGGAGATGACTCATGAACCACAATCTCATGACACTGTTTTATGTTGTACATTCGCACCTCCCTTCTAAAGTGTGCTTTATCAGCAAAAACCATGCCTTTTGACAGCACCGTTGCTCTAGATTCATTCCACATTGCTGTCCGAACTTCGTCAAGATCCCTTGTGAGGGCATCTACATCTGGCATACTTAGCAACTGATCAAGGTAGGGAATCTCCCTTGAATGAAACAACACATGGGACTCATACACTCTTGGTCTAATGGGAGGTGGAGCATGATCCCTCATCAAATCAGGTTTATCATTCTCGTCCTCATCATCATCACCCTCATCAGAGAAGGGTGTGTCATCTCCACACTCAACTGCATTGTTGTCATAATCACTATTATCTTTTTGACTCTACGCATCTGCGAGATCCCGATTAAATATGTCGTCTTCGGGCAATTGTGTAAGGACAGGACCTTCAAGTTGCTCATTTTCACTGCACAACCAATAAAATAATGACTTTCTCAAATTCATCCAAACATTACATATAAACTTTATCACTTCACTTATAAATTATAATGTGTTGATATTTCATGATGCACACTATCATGTTGGTGCTCCTGGATGGACCACCATGATCCAACACACCAAAACTAGCCATATTCCAACTGTCTCTTGGTTCATAACTTGTAAAATTCATATCTGGCCAGTAACCCCTATGGAATATATGATTGTTAATAAAAATTCAATACATAAAAATAAATATCGTAACACAAAGAAAAATTGAAGTTTATCACTCGGCTTGTGGATTATGTAAACTTGGGGAGAAATTATGTCCTCGATCCTCATTCGCCCATGGAGATAAGTTTAGATCAAGCCAAACTCTTTCACCCGGAACCTATTCGGCTAAAACTGCTCCAAAATAACCACCCGACGATTGAGGGATATCCCTACTTTGCAGAACCTCATTTTTGCGGACGTCTTCCGCCTTGACGTACATTTTTAATATTTTTATCACAAGAAGTTCTCGGCGTTCATCCGGAGTCCTCAAAAAATATGTCAGAGTTTCATCGTATTCGATATTAAACTCAGCATAACAAGCAACCCCTTGCGGAGTAACAGAATACAAATATCTTCCAGTTACTTTAATATTCACCAAACGTTTGCTCACACTCATTTTTTTTTATATAACAGCGATACCAATCTGTCGTACTACATTATAAGTGACAACTTAACATGACACTGTGGAGAATAACTATAATATATTGAGTTATTCTCCGCCACAACCCACCCCCAATATAATGAAACCCTAATTTTTTGCTATTCGAATATTATGACAAAATGCAAAATAACTTAACGAACAAATATTTCGAAAGACTTGAAGGATGCTCGATGGATTTTTACCAAATTCAGAACCTCCTTAAATAGGAAAATAATCAGTCTGGGGGTATAATTAGTGGATGTATAGCGCATGCATAATATGCGATATACCCATATGAATTATTGGTGGGTCAGTTAAGTGCATGTGAATTATTGATGGGGCCATATTTTATATATAGTGCGGTTATTCACCGCGCTATACCTTAACAGACAAAACTGTCGTTAAGGTATAACGCGATGAATAACCGCACTATATATAAATGGTGCCCAATTTATTTTTAATCTTATTTGTGTCTCTTAAGTCTAAATGAACCATACTTTGGTTCGGACTCCAACTTTTGTGCCTACCTTATTTTACCGTACAAAGCTATTTAGCTTCCGTTTGGTTTAGTTGAATGAGAGTAACTTTCAAATACCTAGTGTTGAAAAAATCTTTGAAGTGTTGGAATCAATTTTATTAAAAAATAGAGAAAAGGCGCCGACGTCCATAGTTTTCAATTAAAGTTTTGAACAAGATAGAGCTGATAATAGCAAGAATTTTATGTCTAAATGGCTTCAGACACAAATTGATCTTATCTATTAATTCATTCAAAGTGTATATATATATATATATATATATATATATATATATATATATATATATATATATATATACACACTTAAGTAATACTTTGACACAAATTGCACTATATATATATATATATATATATACTTATATAATACTTTGACTTAAGTTTGCAAGTAAAAAATATACTTAAATAGTGCAAAATATTCATATAGAAATTACAAGAATTCAAGATTAATATTTGTTGCTATTAAAATAGTAGGTAGTAACATTTTACAAATATCATTGATCATGTGTTAGAATCGAAATAATCAGGTGTTATGTGAAAGCTAATAAAGCAAACCTTGAACGGCGATAAAACAAACAATAAAAGAGAAATATATCAAAAGTGGCACAAATATTTAACGTGGTTCGGTCAATTGACCTACGTCCACAGGTGGAGATGAGCAATCTACTATATAAAAGAGAGTACAAAATATCGAGAGAACAACCTCACAAAGAGACAAGTACAAGTGACATACTAACACTTGTCCCGAAAAGTTCTCTGTCTAAACAAGACTCTCAAACCCCTTGTGGCTACATTATGGATGTTGATGGCACTACAAGAAATATGTGATACGGCCACATTTAATTAGTGACACTTATAATAAATGTCAGAAAAAATTAGTGACATTTGTTAGAAAATGTGATAAGAATACCGACATTTATTGAAACTTGTCAAAAAATATTTTGGCATTTGATTTAAATGTCATATTATTAGGAATATAATAATATTTAATTAGTAACATTTATAACAATGTCAAAAATATTTTTTTCCCCAACAAGAAAAATTAACTTTAAACATTTTAATGGGCCTTTAAGCTTCTCTTCTTTTTACAGAAATACAAAAGAAAGTTAAAAATAATATTCAACCCTATTTCTCCAAAACTCTTCAAGCCGCAACCGTAAGAACTATGAAACTTCATTAGTTCGTCTCCATATATCTTTCACTCATTCTGATCACAATCCGCCGGTAAGATTATCCTTCAATATAAGTATTATAAATCTCAATCTTCTCTATTTTGTTTCTTAACTGCTTTTGACTGTTTGTTGATAACCCTAGATTTGCCATCTATAGTCTTGAGATTTCTTTTGATTGAACCTTTTGATTCGTTTCAGACCTAGAAGCGCCGCCTGCTAGAACTAAAATTCAGCAATTACCTTTGTCAGAATCTCGATTTGCAATCGTGTTATGTACGTTTGGACTTTTATTTTCGAGTGAAATGAGATTTGTGATATTTTGGTTACTGATATTCTTGAACTTTTTTCCTTGTTGTTTGTTTTTGTTTTCTTTTTGAAGGTGAAATTCCTGCACAAGAGTCTAGTAACGTTGATATTACTCCATATGAGGTTAAAATGTTATATTGCTACTTACCCTTTTCCCTTAATCAGTGTGGTGATTATTATTATTTTTTTAATTTCAGATCTTGGATAAATCAGATTTTGAAGGCCGTGAGATCAAATAATGTGAAGGAATCCTGATTTGGTGAAAGTATGGAACACTTCATCAAGAAAAATACATGGATGCTGAAGCTTTAAATTATGTTGGTGTATTTGGAAATTATAAGAGAAAAGTTATGGTTATGTAGTCATATGTTACAAAAATGAAAAGTCCCATTTTTGAAACAACCAATTTGATATGGTGGGATTGTTTCTTATTTTTCTTTTCAATTATGCCCTAACTTATTACTCCATAGTTTTATTTTACCGTTTACCTTTTTTTTTTAAAAAAATTTAACTCCAAATCTCTCACTTATAACCTACTTTGTTTTCGTCCCTTTTTTCAGAACTTCTGCCGCTTCCAACTTCAACCTAAAATTGCTAATTTTGTTAGAATTTATATGAATTTAATTGTTTAATCTATTTTTAAGACATATTTGATGGTAAATTAGTAGAAAGGGATTTTCTTAAATTATTTTTATGTGTAATTATTTGATAAATTTAATATTTAAACAATTGAGGATATTTTAGTAAATTTATCAGTTACAGTACAGTACTATACAGTCAAACCAAACAACAAAATGTTATTTAACAACTGCAAACAATATAATCTATCCAAATATTGTATTTATAAAATGATACAATACAATACAATATAACGCAATACAATACATTATAAAATGATGGTAACAACCATCCAAAAACTAGCTGTTAAAGTAATTCATTGTTTTGTTTGAATCGAATGAGGTGTACGACTCTTGAAACTTTTGAAATGAATAAAAATGTTTGTAGTATTGTAAGATCAGCAATAGTTAATTCTTTATTTTCTACTTTCTTACTACATATTCTACATAATACTTAAAGGAACAAAAAGGGAATATTTTTCTTCTTAATCATAATATAAATAATGATTTTGATATTCAAATAATATGTCAAAAACAAACGTTTTATCTGACATTTCTATGTATATCGCAAACAAGATAGTTTAAGAGCTCAAATTGTTGACATTTGATAAGCAGCAAATAAATGTCACTAGATTTTTACCGATACTAATTTAAATGTCGTAAAATTAACGACATTGAAATTTCCGACATTTGATTTAAGTGTAAAATAAAAGTCGCTAAATAAATTTGCGACATTTAATTGACGTATGGCGACATTTATATAATGTCGTCACATGTTTCTTGTAGTATGGATGAGAAGGAAGGATTCTCAATTTATAGAAGTCTAAAAAAAATTTCTCTTAGAAAAAAGAATAGTCAAATATAAAAATTTATAATTTCTTTCTAAAAGAAGAAAACTCATTATAATAAATATTTTACCCTTTTCTTCTAAAGATACAAAAACCAAATATAATAAGAAAATGAGCCGTAAACAACCGTCAAATTCATTACATTTATTAAGTTAGCTCTTGAGATGTAAAAGTTTCCTGCTAACACATGCTTATTAGTGGAGGCATTTATAGCTTGACAAAAGCTTACAGAACCAGACCAAATTAAAATTCATAGGATAGTGACTTGAATTCTCTTCACTAAACTTGTTACTTTTTTTATGGACTATAGAGTCTCATCATTACCAAACTGATGGGAAGCCTTTCTGTATAGTTATCTTAAAATCTAAGCTAGCGTTTGACCATAGATTTCCAAATTTGTTTTGAAAAATTTGATTTGGGTGAAGTTTGATTTGAAGATGGAAATGTATTTGGACATGATTTTTCAAAACATATTTTACTTTTATTTGAAAAAACATGAAACATGACTTATACCTACAAGTTCTAAAAATTATCACAAATACCCAATAGTACCAAACAAACAAACTTGCTATCTTGTATATACAGAACCTTCATCAATATCATTCATTATCATTATCACAAACCATAATCCTGAACATAAATAAGTTTAATGAGGGGCAAGTAAGCAGATATGGTTTAGTTGGTCGTAATAAATGTGGGCTCTTTTACAAACTATAAAAGTTTGGGGTAATATTTAAAAAAATTTAAAAATGACCGTGTCATGTTTTGGCCCAAAATCAGCAATTGAGGTGATTTTGGGATTTGAGATTTGAGATTTTGTCAAAATGTGAGCAAAATCTATGGCCAAACATGTGTTTGCCAAATAAATCCCAAATTTATTTTGGCAAAACTCATGGCCAAACGGGTCCTAAAACTCATAAAATTTAGATTTCGGCTCGGCTTCTTAAAAAAGAGGAAATTGGGTCTCATTTGCTTCAATTTTGTTTCAACTTTCCTCTTTTTTAAGAAGCCGAGCCGAAATCTAAATTTTATGAGTTTTAGGACCCGTTTGGCCATGAGTTTTGCCAAAATAAATTTGGGATTTATTTGGCAAACACATGTTTGGCCATAGATTTTGCTCACATTTTGACAAAATCTCAAATCTCAAATCCCAAAATCACCTCAATTGCTGATTTTGGGCCAAAACATGACACGGTCATTTTTAAATTTTTTTAAATATTACCC